CGGGAGATGAAGGCGGGGTTGTCGCCGCCAAAGTAGTATCCGAACGAGAGCGACTCGCCGGAGACGGGCGAGGAGAAGGTGACGTTGAGGGTGGCGTAGGAGCTGATGGACGAGGTGGCGCGGGGCAGGGAGGAGATGTTGGCGGCGAAGTAGAGGGCGTTGGAGGCGAGGCCGCTGTAGTCGAGGGCCAGGCTGCTGTTGGCCAGGCTGCTGTTGTCGACGAGGACGGCGCCGAGGACGGGCGACATGTCGTACGGCACCGAGATCAGGTCCCAGCCGAGGCGCGTGGTGTTGGCGAGCGAGTTGCGCCGTGGCAGCGACATGGCGGACCGCCAGCCTTCTTGCGTGCCCGTCGGCACCACGTCCGTGTATTGCCAGTTGCTGGCCCAGGCGATGGAGATGGCGCCCTCGGAGACGGGCACGCCGTAGAAGAATTGCGCGGCGTAGTTGTCCTTGGCGAAGTCGGCGATGCGGGCGGCGCTGTCGACGGCGCTGAAGTGCGTTCCGTTGAACGTGCCGGGGAAGTACTGCCCGATGGAGCCGCCTTGGGGTGCGCCCGGGTTGATGGAGATGTACAGCACGTACATGGTCTCGGTGGAGCCGGCGACGGGGATCTCGACCATGTTGGGGCATTCGTATTGCAAGCCGAGGAGGCCGTGGTGCGTGAAGTTGGACGCGTGCGTCCAGTCGATGAGGTTGGGCGACGTGTAGATGCCGATTGTGAAGTCTTGCGAGTAGGCCACGACCATGACCCAGTGGTCCTCGTACCAGATCACTTTGGGGTCCCGGAATTGCGAGGATGTGCTGTCGATGACGGGGTTGTTGGCATAGCGGGTGAAGCTGTAGCCCCCGTCGTGCGAGTAGGAGATCTCTTGCACTTGGGGCCCGCTGGTGCCGCCGGTTTGGAGTGTGTAGATGGCGACGACGCCGTCGTCTTGGTCGGGGAAGAGACCGGACGTGTTGTTGACGTCGACGATGGCGGAGCCACTGAAGATGTAGGATGAGTCGTCCGGAGGGAAGATGGCGATGGGTTGGTTGGTCCAGTGGTATAGGTCGTCGGACGTGGCATGGCCCCAGTGCTGGTTTCCGGCGGCTAGACCTGTCGGGTTATCTGCAATGTTGTCAGTGGACGTTGTATATCTTCTTGGCTAGGGTAGAGAAAGGCCTACATTGGTAATACAGATGCCATGTTCCATTGGCAGCTCTGAACATGCCATTGGGGTCATTCATAAAATGCTGGTCATGGTCAGTAACGCGAATCTTGACAGTGAGCTCTGCTGGAACGCAGAAAGGGGCAACGCATACCTGTGGCGGTGAGAAATGTATCTGTGGCCTCAGCGGTCCAGAATAGTTCCCCGGAATTGGAGTCCCGGTAGGCACACCAGGCTCGACATATGTTGAAGTGCTGTTCTGGCCCAGCGCGACGCCAAAAGCCAATGCTCCGGCTGCGAAAGTACGAGAGAACTTCATGATTATTGAAGTCTGGAGAAGCGGAAAAGAGGCTCAAAAGAAAGCAAGTTCTCTGATCAACAAACCCACGACTCAACCCTTGTCTTCTTATGTAGCCGCCCCGGGCCCCGGCGGACGGTCCGTGGGATACTCGGTAAGCAATCTGGGTTCGTGTCGATGCAGACGGGGCCTCCAACTACCGTAGAAGCCGACCTGGAGCACCTCGACCCATCATGACACCATCAATCACTTACCTGCCGGGAGCTCCGTCCGCCGTCGCTGTAGCGGCCGCCTTGAGCCTCTGTCCATCGTCTTGGCGCCTAGACTTTGGCCGACGGGACTGGAGTTGGGACCAGAAACCAGGACACACAAAATCTTGATCAGTCCCGACCCCAGTCCAATCTAATAGTCGTGTGGAAAACAGCACAGTCTGCTGCCAAAGGTGTAAACAGTCACCCCGCACGCGGGGCGTTGACGAGGCGTGCAGTAGCTCGCCCAACTGACGGCACACTTCAGCGTTTCTTTTTTGGCAACGGGGCGGGGTTCTCCAGAGCAGGGACAACAACACAGAGCAGCCGTCACGAGCCGTCACGAGTCGGGGTGGTGCCGAGTGAGTGAGTGCCCGGACTCGATATAGCGGCTGAGCGGCTGAAGAGAGGGGACCCCAGCGGACCGAGAAGAGGGCGCGGGTTAATTGCGGAGATGGAGGTGGTGGGAGGTGGGGTTCGTGGGGGGGGGGGATTGGTGAGACAGCGGAGAAATCCATTGTCGTGTGTGTGTGCACTGGCAAGACGCACTGTCAAGACTGCGCACTGTCACTTGCTTGCTGGCTTAAGAATTTTCAATGACACAATGGTCGGATGCCTTACTGCTTTGGATGGGGTTTGAGTAATGTACTTCGTGAAGAGCCAGTGCTTCTTCGGACTTCCGTACAATGCCGTCAATGTATAAGTCACTGTTGGATCTAAGCAGAGGTTCCAGAAGGGGGCGTCTGCGTAATTGTCGACGAGATTTGAATAAGTGAAAGCTGATTGGTTGTTGATAGTCTCAACCTATCATCTCGTGACTAGCTAAAATACCTTGCGAAACATCAAATCTTAAACGGCACTAAGTGAAGAACACCTCACGCAGTTGAGAAAGTCGTCGCAGCAAAAACAGAGCAACGAGTTGATCGGTTCCTAATGATGGGTCACTATGTACCACCTAGGTTGTCTGTTCATATGGCCAGCGCAAGATGGGCTCTGTTGCACAATCACTTGTCGACCTTGTCATAACAGCTTCCATGCGAGCTTATTAGGACCACCACAGTATTCTTCGCATGTCACAACTTTCTCATCCTTAGCCACGGTAACTTGATGATGTCATGGTCGGTTGCACGATGTATAATCCTGCGGCTGACAGTCTCGAGATAAGGGATGGATCAAGCGACGACAGTCTTGTCACCCGTCTTACATGCCCCAGCGACATTATCTCGACAACCCCCCATCGATGGAACAAATGCCAAACAGCTTGGAGACGGCAGAAAATGCACCACGTTAACTCTCTCTCCCTCCGCTCTATTTTCAGTCGCATCCAGTGGAGAACGCTTCTACATTTCCAACTGACCAGTTTGCCAGCTTTGCAGAGCTCACATCGGCATTGCCGCAGCCAGATCATGGAGAAAGATTGGACACGATCCATATCCCACACCGAAGTCCGTCAGGCTTGTCAGATATCTCCCATCGTAGTCAATGCAGATGGTCTGATAAGGTGCTCGATGGGGCCTGTGGAGCTTGAGCATGCGCCAGCTTTCACCGCACTTTCTTACCGGTACACCTGGGAGAATCCATTTCAATAGTGGCCGCACCCATTTCCGGGAAAGCGGAACCTCGACAAAGAATAACCCCCTACATCAAAACACACTGTAATAATGGAAAGCCGACACTTGTCCGAAGAAACCTGTATGAAGCGACTTGCCAAGTTGGGAAAATTGAAACTGGCGAAGACTTCGAGATGCCTGCTACCATGTAGGACTCGTCTGGAGTGGATGTTGTAGATAGGAAAGTTCCGTCGTTTAACAAGACATTACTGATAACACGTGCGATCTGGACTCCGTCTTGTATCTTCCGGATGACGGAGCAAACATACCGCGAATCAGTGGGAACGAGCAGATCTTGAAATCGTGCGCGAATACCTTCAGAGTTTCCCAGAAGGACCGAAAAATAAGTCGAAGTCGTCATCCGGAACACCTCAGCCGGCTGAGACTGCGCTGCCTCGGATCGAAGCCGATCTAGATCTACTCAAACAAGGTGACGAGCCTAATAACCTCTTACCCACCAGATTGGTCGCCCCATGTGGATCAATGCCCTTTTGAATAATCAAGAGGACATTCCCGAGAGGAAAAGTCAAGTGACAACTGTGGATTTGCGCGAAAATACTAAAAACGCTTACTGCTTCCGAGAACCTGGCTGCAATATTTCCCTACGCTACAGCACCATTCACCCACCAACGGTTCCTTACACGATGCCTTTTCCGAACGCTCAACAGATATCTTGGCATCAGGTCCATGTACATGGTGTCTGGCGATGAGGTCCGTCTCTTTGCCGATGATCGCACAGCTTATATTGTACGAAAATATAATAGATGGTACCGCTTCCAAGGTGAGGCATATGTTCATGGAGCAATGTACGGAGAGGCTGCGCAAGGTCGGGCTAATGAATTCCGGTTGGTTGAGCTGCGCTGATTGCCCGAATGTGGAAATCTCCTCCCCAAGTGTTTTCGGGAATTTTTAATCGTTTTCCAACTTTGGGCGCTGGCTTCTTTGCTTGGACAGAAGGGTGATCTAGATCTGACGTGTAGTCAGTCGACTGGAAGCTTCTTACGTGTCTTCCCCGACATGATCAATCTCGATCAAATCTAGAGCAATTGAGTAGTCAGTTTCCATTGGAAAAATGAACTAAACTGGCGTTAGCTAAGGGCGACCATCGAGTATAGTCGGGACCACGACTTAACGGAACTGAAATACTCGTTCTGAGTCGTTCATGATAGTAAGCCATAGGAAGATACATCTTTCTTAATAGGTTTAGTGGCCAAGGATAACATGGACTATATCAAACAAGAAAAGTAGTTTCCCCTGATGATAAGAGTTCTCTAGGCCTCTAATTCGTTCACTCCTATGCTGAGTGCCCATGTATAAACCACTACAGAATTATGATGATTTTAAGAACTCTAGGAATTCCATTCTCAGTATACTAGTAGCTAAACTAATTCGCTTACGATAATAAGGATTTTAAGTAGGAAAGACTTCTCTACTTCTTAAGTTGAAGAAGCCCTTTACAGATATCAGACTACTCTTGGGTCTTTCAACCCGACCCATAGCATAAGCTACAATTTTGGTGAGGCTCTAGTAGTTAGTGTCGTACGGATGATCCGGGGACCCACCGGTCAGATCCCAAATTCTTCGTCCAGACCACGATGTCTACCAGCGTTCTGACGCTACAGGCACAGCGTAAACGCGCCAAAAACAGTATAATTATCGTTAATGCGGCTTATTCTTCCACAACAAGATAGTAGCGTTGGTGGTTTAGTGGTAAAATTGGCCGTTGCCATGCGAATATCGTCCAGATATTAGCTGCAATTAACTCGGCCAGCCCCGGGTTCGATTCCCGGCCGACGCATCCCTTTTGCGGGTTGGATGGTCCGATCGCTTTTGTTTTGGTGGAGTAACGGCCGAAAACAGGCCGGTAGTAATCATCTTATTTACTTAAGTTCGTATCTTCCACCACTGATGTAAGAGCACTACTCTGGTATCCTAAGAATTAATCGGTGAGCGTGGCTTTTTTTTACTGCAAGTATAAGTGCAATAGCTTTCTTTTTAGTTGAGTTATGGCTGATGGAAGCTCGGTGTTGACATATTTTCCCGAGATAGCCGAGCCGCTGGTTTTGGTGAATTGTGGGGTGCAAACTATTGGCCCCTGACAGCACCAGCACACCTTGTCCTGTTTCCTACTAACACATTACATCTGGCTCGTCCTTTATCCTCATGTCTTTTGGTCTATTATTTGACCGACCTGAATACAGTCAACTTTAACGCTGCATCTCAAATACATAAATAAGTACTTGAAAAGTACCGGTACGATAACTTACACGTTCTGTATTTAACGGTCTGAATCTGAAATCTTCCTCTACTTAACCGAGCCTATGTCTGTTAATGTGTATACTTGTAATGGACCCAATTGATTCTATTTTAGAAAACCCTGGGTATTTTCATTGCGGAGATGCGTAGATGCGCAGATGCGCAGATGCGGAGATGCGGAGATGCGGAGATTGCTATTGCGGAGATGCATAACATTGCTTGCAAGGCTGCTAGTACAGGCACGACAGGCAATCTAGAGGACGTCCATGTGGCACCTTTCGACCCTTTTGAAGGCATGGACATAAAGCGTAAGAATACACTTTGCCGCAGACAGCCAGGAATGCCTGGACTCATCTCCCTTAGCTCGAACCTTTGTAAAGAGCTTGAATGTGCTTCTCATGAGGTGTTCCTTGAGACACTAGGTATTTGATGCCAATCGTAGAGGGAGGGACACATGCCCCGATCCCATCTCCGCTCACAAGTACTTTTCTCATTGCTCTGTCAACCTTCTGGCCAGATGAGTCTTCTGGTTACTGTGGTAAATCTATTGGCAAGATCTTGCTATGCACTGATATATCAACGACTGCCATGGAGATCATTTCTTCTTGTTTGGCCAACTCAGCCCTCGGTATCTGGCCGATACGTATCATAAAGCAATGCAAGCAACCGCAGTACCTGGGAGGTTTTGGCCTTTCCCTACCCGGATTTGACCCTGGAGCCGACGGCACTATCAAAGGGCTTGATTCGCAAGTTGAAATGATCCTTGATTGCACCTTCCACATATCAGCGGGGTAACGTCTTGTTGGGCATTTGGCTTTCAAGCTAATGACAATGATTTAATAACACACAGTTCGACGAGCTCCTGTGAGCATTACTCATACCAGTCCGGCAAGTCCGACTGGAAACAGCTTGATTTGTTTGTGCCATTCAACAAAACTTAGCATCAATCTGCAAGCGTCTGTTTGTTGTTTGTTCAAGTGCTTCATTGATCTCGTGCAGTAAGTTAACTTTAGCGTAGTTCAGCTCTATGCTAAAATCAAAGAAGGAACGAGCCGCAAGCACTGCATGCAAATATTTAAATCGCTTCAGGAGCACTGCTTTTCGATCTTAAGTATCATCAACAGCCGGAATGTCGCCTGCCGCCATCCTTCAACAGCAAGAGCTCTCTACTGAACAAGTCAATGCTGCCAAGGGTCTCGGATCCGCCAAGTCGACAAACCGCTTGAATCAAATCGATCGGGTGCGGGCGATTGGAGTTGGTGATCACGTTGCACTTCCTCAGTTAGTCGTGTGTGGTGATCAGTCTTGCGGAAAGAGCTCGGTCCTTGAAGCTGTCACCGGCGTTCCCTTTCCTCGACAGGATGGCCTTTGTACGAGATTTGCGACGGAGATCATTCTACGGCACGACAGTACCACCGAGCGGATATGCGCTTCGATAAACCCTCGTGGATCGCGAGGTGCAAAGGAACAGGAGAGATTGCGCAGGTACAAGCGACAACTCAAGGACATCGCTGAATTAAGCACCGTAGTCGAAGAAGTCTCAACCCTGATGGGGCTTAGAGGCGTAGGTGGAAACACGAATGGTCCGTCTTTTGCATCCGACACACTTCGAATCGAGGTAGTAGGATCAATTGGACTTCACCTCACCATCGTGGATCTACCAGGGCTCATCGCGGTTCACAGTGACGAGCAAGAGAACGCAGACGTCACTCTTGTCTCCGACCTTATCAACAGATATCTGAAAAGCTCCCGGACAATCATTCTAGCTGTTGTTCAAGCCAACAATGATATAGCCAATCAGGCCATCATTCAAAGAGCTCGCAAGTTTGATCCGAAGGGACAGCGAACGGTCGGGATCATCACCAAACCGGACTTGGTCAATAAGGGGACCGAAAATCGAATCGCACTCTTGTCCAGGAACGAAGATACGACCAGGCTGAAGCTCGGATTTTTCCTTCTGAAGAATCCGAGTCCAGAGGAGCTCAAGTTCCCCGTGACTGCTGCAGAACGGAAGCGCGAAGAGAAGGCCTTCTTCCAATCCACTCCGTGGAAGGAACAGTCCTTGGATCCCGAAAGGGTCGGGTCCGATGCGTTAACATCTTATCTTCAGCAATTACTTGATCAGCATATTGAGCGTGAGCTCCCCAAGGTGAGAAAAGAGATTCTTGACCTTCTCGGTCGCAAAGAACGCGCTTTGGAAAGAATGGGAGAGGCGAGGTCGACCTCAGCCCAGTTCCGTATGTTCCTGACGCGGATAAGCATGAGATTTTCAAACCTCCTCCAGGCAGCCTTGGACGGAAATTATATCCAGTTGTCGTTCGAGATTGACGACTCAAAGAAGCCACTGCATGAGTCTTCCCGCCTGAGAGCGCAGATACAGGCAGAGAACCAGGACTTTTCAGAGAGGATGCGGATGTATGGTCAGAAACGCAGAATAATACAGGATATACCGCAGAAGGACAATTCACCGGGGGAAGATCCCCAAGTGGATGAACCTCAGGAGGACAGTTGTGGTCAGGGGCAGATCCTTCTGAAGTCCAGCCAATTCAATGCATGGATTGAAAAGGTTCGTCAGAGGGCCCAAGTTTATGGTTGACGCTGACAATTACAGGTGAACAAAAAGTCAAGAGGTTGCGAGTTGCCTGGTAATTCCAACCATTTCCTGCTAGCGGAGCTTTTTTTGGAGCAATCGAGCCTGTGGAACGAAATTGCAAGTGTTCACATGGAAAGCTTGGCCAAGCTAACCGCAAACTGCATTGCACGAATATTGGACAGTGTTGTCGGAGACGGGATCCTCAGAGACCGGATAAGCGACTTCATCGCCCAGAAGCTTCGGAAATGTACTATGCATGCCCATTCCGAGCTGGCACGCCTGATCTCGGACGAGAAACGGCAGCCAATGACCTACAATCATTACTACACGGATAACATTCAGAAGGCCCGGCAAGATTCCATGGAGAAGAGGATAAGAGAGACAATGGGGGACTCGTTAAGGACGGTAGATCGTGACCCCCAAGGCAGATATCACGAAGTAGACTTGTTAAAGAGTTTATCAACGGTGCTGCGCAACGAGGTCATAGTCGACATGAAACAGCAGGCTTGCCAGGAAGCCAAGGCCGGACTGGATGCTTACTATAAGGTGAGGCTGTTAAGTCAGATACTACCGCAATTATGGGTATACTGACGTTAGCAGGTTGCCAGAAAGACGTTCGTTGACAATGTGTGTCGACAATGCATCGAACGCCATATGATATCTCCTCTTCCTGAAGTCTTCTCACCAGCGACAGTGATGGAGCTTTCGGACACTGAGCTCGAGAAGATGGCGGGAGAGTCTCAGGAACAGCAGACCCGCCGTCGGGCTTTGGAGGAGCTCGTTGAAGGTCTTCGCCAAAGCTTAAACGAGCTGCAGGTCTAGGGATCACTACAACTAATGACAAGAGATTCGCCAACATGCGCCGACTGTAGCTGTTTATTTTTCTCTTGCTCGATGCTGTCCGCAGCCAATATCATTAGAACGCAGAAAGTGCTTATCAGTAAAAGCCTTTTTTATAGGTTCCAATGACAGTTCTTGAGGCCTGAAAGCACTGTGCACGTGCTTGATGTCTTGGAGTTGGGAAGGTTACGGATTGAGATCGAGGTATCTGGCTCGCCGTGACGTTGAAGTCGACCACCGTCTAGGTTTCTCTTGACGCAGATTTCAGGCCCTGTCACCTAATCGAGCTTGCATTGTCCTGGTGATCCAGAGCATGGAATCCTGGATGTTGTCCTTGGGTTCTTTCGAGAATGTACCGCATGAACAGCATCTGGACACCGGGGTTCGAGTTTTTCTGTTCCACCAGCTGGGGGGAAACCTCCATCCTCTTCTCCGACGGTGAGCCTCGAGCTCTCCGGGGCGTCGGGATCTACGGTGAGTAAGCTGTAGGCCCGGGCTGCGACTGGCCGGAGCCTGAGGTAGGTACAAGGAGTAAGGAGAAGTACACGGCATCGTCAATGGGATGAATTCGGTATTGTCACAGCTACCACGACTTTGCGGTACCTGTGTGCCATACGCGAGACGTTGAGGACATTCGTCAGATGGAAGAGCGTTGGAAGAGAAAGGAAGGTTGTTGTTTGTTGGTGGGCGAGGCCTGGCCGAGGCTATGGCCACTAGCGCATCGTGAACCGCCAAGACTCCAGAAGCTTCCAACTCCGCGAACCCGAACTTTTTCTCCCAAGCCATCTCAATCTCAACCTCCTCGTCTTAACGTTTCTACTTGATCTGGAGTCTTTGGAGCTGTAGGATCGGGTTCATCATCTTGTCCAATTGTTCATATTATCTCTTCCGCAACCTCACAATGCAGCGCATGCTTACTTCGAGAGCGCGGGCTTCCGCCCCGTCGCTGAGCTCCCGCAGCTTCAACCTGACCCAGCAGAGGTTCGCCCACAAGGTAAGCAGTATAGTCTCAGCCAATTCCTGACTCTTCACCCTGTCACATGTCGACTCTCGAACCCACTGACGGCGTGCTTGTAGGAGTTGAAGTTCGGTGTCGAGGGCCGCGCCGC